CAGCGGGAACCAGAAGGGACCTCCAACCCGCGTGTCTAGTTCTGCCGGGGACCAGCTCCGGGCACAGGAGCTCAGCGACCCAGGAAAGTGAGGGAGACCCTCCACCCAGGAAAAGGCTCAGGATCTGGGCCTTCTCATGTGCAGATAACGTCAGGGAAAATTCACCGCTGATACTGATTTTAGTTCTTGGAAAACCGAGCCAGCGAGCAGCAGTGCCCACAGAATTGGGCCGCATGAGAGCAAGCGTGGCTTCCCTGGTGGCTCAGTGGTCAAGAATCCACCTGCAACGCAGGAGACCTGGGTTCGATCCCGGGGTCGAGAAGATCCCCTGGAGAAGGAAATGGCAACCCACTCTAGTAGTCATGCCTGGAGAATCCTATGGACAGAGGAGTCCATGGGGTGGCAGAGTTGGACAGAATTGAGCGACTCACGCACACAGAGAAAGCATAATTATGGCCGTTGAACTACGTGGTCAGTGGCTCAGTGCCAAGGCATCAGACTTGGCAGGTCTTGTTTGGGGACAGCAGTGACGTCTATCAATACGGAGGGTCTGACTGTGAAGTAGTAACATGGCTTCTGAGTGCGGATGGCCGGCCCCAGCCCTCCCTCAGGGTGGGTTCTGGCACCGGCTGAGCGCCTTCCACCACTGCAGCAGGTGGAGGACAGCTAATGGAGGTGGGTGATGGCATGAGTCTAGTCCACTGATGTAGTTTACCTCTGAAGCAGCAGGGAGCAAGGCCTTCTGGAGAACAAGGGCTCCAGGAGGCTGGGACTGGAAGAAGCCCAGAACCAGGACAGTCTGGAGTCTAGCTGGCTCCAGGCACTGCAAAAGATAAGCTTGTGTTCCCCAGCCTGCTGCAGTTCAGTGTGGCTGAGTCAGGGGTGTGAGGAGCAGCGGGCAGAGAGAGGGGCATAGCTGAGGAAGGAGTTGGCAGGATCGAGCCTGTGGGCAGGGCTACTTACCCCGTTGGCCTTTGCTCTGAACAATCTGTGGGTGCTTTAAGGATCATGTTTCAGTTCTTATTCATTCTGCCCCAATCTGGGAACTTGCAAGTTCCCAGTGCATTGAAAGGCTTCAATCACCATCACTATCATCACCACCACCATCGCTATCATCACCACCACCAATATCACCATTTCCATCATTATTACCATTATCACCACCGTCATCATCACCATCAATATCACCATCACCATCACCAATAACAACAAAATTGCCTCTCCAAGGCGGCACAATCAGACGCTATTCTGAGAGAATGTACACGACTCTGGCAACACTTGTCTGCAGCCCTCACAGTGTTGAATTTCACTGGCCGAGGCCCTGGAAGAACACTGGAGGAGGAGAGGCTCTTGCGGGGCAGGTTCTCCGAGATGGGCTCCTCCAGGGTGACCCCCTGGGGTTGGGCTTCTGCAGCCCGCCTTCCCTCTGGTTGTCTTGTCACAGAGGCTGCTGGGGAGGCCCCTGCTCATGGACCACGTTCTCAGCATCTCCTTGGGTGGGTGTGCAGCAAAATTTGTGGGGAACCTAACATTCACGGCTTCCCTGTTACCCCAGAGGGTGGATTTCCAGGCAGTTCTGCTGTGTGGCACCTGATGGAGCCACTTCTCTGCACCAGGGAGCCGTGCTGACACCTTCTGTAGCGAGACCAGGTCTCACTTGGGCAGGGGTGGTGGCTGCTAGTCATAGCTGCCTTCAAGTATTATCAGGGTTCTCCTGACTTCCTACAAGCAATTCCCTCATCAGGACAAACCCATTATGACTGTAATAATTCCTTACAGAATAATAGTTCTTCATATTAAGCTTTCCCTGTTAAATCACTGTGGGGTTTCAGACTCCCAGTTGGGCGATGACTGACATGAAAATTATACAAGATGTCCCCTTTCTGGCTTTTGTATAAGGTAGTCCCACAGCCTGTTTCATTTGGCTAACAGGGTCCAGTGGCTAACAGCACAAACTCTAGGGCCAGACCGCCTGTGTTCAGACACCAGGTCTAGCACTGGCTGGTGGAAACCACTTCATCTCTCTATGCCTGGGTCTCACCATCTGTAAAATGGAGACAACAGGACTGTTGGCGGGATTATGTAAAGGGTTTGGCACATCAGTGCTCTCTAAGTATCTGATATTATCAGGATTAGGCTCTTCTGACTCACAGTGAGGATTTCAGCACCAGGAGCCCCTCTGAGGTCTCTCTGGCCACTTCCCAGCCCAGGCTGAGTCAGGCTCCCTCCCCTGTGCTCACACCCTCCCTGCACTGATGCCACCCTGCTGTCACTGCAGGCTTATTTCTGCAGATCTGATGAGGGCAGGGCGTGTCCCCAGGGCCTCACAGCAGTGAGGGAGGGGTGAGTGAGTTAAGATGCTCTGGAAATAGACAGGATTACTTGAGTAAGAGGCCTGCTAAGGGACATGCCTGTGACGTCAAAGGGGGCGGGAACAGAAGAATGTAGGGAGAGCCTTCAAACCACAACATAAGGTAGGTCTGACATATGTGAAGGAGGTGGGGAAGGAAGGAGGTCTGGGTAGAAGGATCTCAGACCTCAGTTCAGTTCAATCACTCAGTCGTGTCTGACTTTTGCGACCCCATGGACTGCAGCACGCCAGGTCTCACTGTCCATCACCAACTCCCGGAGTTTACTCAAACTCACGTCCATTGAGTCAGTGATGCCATCCAACCATCTCATCCTCTACCTTCAATCTTTCCCAGCATCAGGGTCTTTTCAAATGAGTCAGCTCTCCGCATCAGGTGGCCAAAGTACTGGAGTTTCAACTTCAGCATCAGGCCTCCCAGTGAACATTCAGGGTTGATTTCCTTTAGGATAGACTGGTTGGATCTCCCTACAGTCCAAGGTACTCTCAAGAGTCTTCTCCAACACCAAAGTTCCAAAGCATCAATTCTTAGGTGCTCAGCTTTCTTTATGGTCCAACTCTCACATCCATACATGACTACTGGAAAAACCATAGCTTTGACTATATGGACCTTTTTTGGCAAAGTAATGTCTCTGCTTTTTAATATGCTGTCTAGGTTGGTCATAGCTTTTCTTCCAGTGAGCAAGCGTCTTTTAATTTCATGGCTGCAGTCACCATCTGCAGTGATTTTGGAGCCCCCCAAAATAAAGTCTGTCAGTGTTTCCACTGTTTCCCCATCTATTTGCCATGAAGTGATGAGACCAGATGTCATGATCTTCATTTTCTGAATGTTGAGCTGTAAGCCAACTTTTTCACTCTCCTCTTTCACTTTCATCAAGAGGCTCTTTAGTTCTTCACTTTCCGCCATAAGGGTGGTGGCATCTGCATATCTGAGGTTATTGATATTTCTCCCAGCAATCTGGATTCCAGCTTGTGCTTCATCCAGCCCAGCATTTCTCATGATGTACTCTGCATATAAGTTAAATAACCTGGGTGACAATATACAGTCTTGACAAACTCTTTTCCCTATTTGAAACCAGTCTGTTGTTCCATGTCCAGTTCTAACTGTTGCTTCCTGACCTGCATACAGATTTCTCAAGAGGCAGATAAGGTGGTCTGGTATTCCCATCTCTTTATGAATTTTCCACAGTTTATTGTGATCCACACAGTCAAAGACTTTGGTGTAGTCAATAAAGCAGAAGTAGATGTTTTCCTGGAACTCTCTTGCTTTTTGGATGATCCAGTGGATGTTGACAATTTGATCTCTTGTTCCTTTGCCTTTTCTAAACCCAGCTTGAACATCTGGAAGTTCATGGTTCACGTACTGAAGCCTGGCTTGGAGAATTTTGAGCATTACTTTACTAGTGTATGAGATGAGTGCAATTGTGCAGTAGTTTGAGCATTGTTTGGCATCTCAGGCCTAGAGTTGTCCTAAGATAGATCCGCCCAGGCTGCTGGGGCATCCTTGAGCCAGTCCTTGACTGGAGGAGTCCCACAGTTCACCAGAATGGGCCTGTGTGAGTACTGCACAATGATCAATCCCTTCCTGAAGGGAACCTACAAGAGGCCTGGCTTCAGTGAAAGCATGCTGGGGGATCTAGATAACAGCAGCTGGGACTGTCAGTCAGTTTTGCTTCCATAGCAGATCTGAGCATCATGGTTGCCACAGTAACTGACAGGCAGAAGGTAGGCCATGCCTCAAGGATATAGGCCAAAAGCAGGGATGCCAGGATCTGTCACCTTGATGCAGGGAGAGGGGGGTGGGCCCATGGACCTCTCTGAGTGAGACTGCATACACATCCCTGTTAACATATATATATAGTGGTAAGTCCTTATATATACTGAATGAATAAAGTCATTCAAATCTCACCATTATAGAATTATTTTCTGTTATGAAATTTTGAATTTCAGAAATTTTGCAAATTTCCTTCCAGGTCTTATCATAACTACATTATTGCAATTCTCATGCATGTTATACTTCATATATTTTAAAATATTTGATATTTAGAATATTTCCTCTTGTTTCTACCATAGCCTTCATAATTATGCTTTTCAGTAACTGAACAATATTCAACAAAATGGATGTACCAAAATTTCCTGTTTTCCAGTATTTCCATTATCCTTATTTTCTTCCATATTATAGGTAATGCTTGCATGTGTATCTTTGGACATACATGACTTAATTTCTGCTGGATTATAGCTCTAGGATAAACTTCTAGGTTTGAAGTTACTGGATCAAAAGATACAGTTTTGTGATTGTGTCAAACTTCGCTCCATGCTTCCTAAAAATATTATGTCAGTTACATTATGTGTATGTTATCTATTGCTGCATAAAAACTATCATAAAATGAAGTGGCTTAAGATAACCTACAATTACTGCCTCACCGTGTCTGCGGGTTGGTGATCCAGGCTTGGTTTAGCTGTGTACTCTGCTTCAGGGTGTCACAGGCTGCAGTGAAGGTGCCGGCTGAGGCTGGGGTCTCATCTGAGACCTGACTGGGGAGGGATTTTCTTCCAAGTTCCCATGTGCTGTCAAGACTCAGCTCCCCGCGGGCTGTGGGGCCTCGGGCCTCGGTGCTCAGCCGGCTGTGAGTCAGAGGCTGCACTTGGTTCTCTGCCACATGGGCCTGTCCAACAGGTGGGATGCTTCATCGAAGCATGCATCTGAGAAGGTAAGTCTGCTGGTAAGACAGAAGTCAGTCTTTTCTAACAATCACAATTGCCTTATGCTGTCGTGTTGAACCAAGAGAAGTAACGGGAGGTGACGACACAGGCCAAGAACACAGGAGCAGGTATCGCTGGGGGCCATCCTGGAGGCTGCCCCAGAGTGTCACCAAGAGGACACACTGCTCCAACTTCACCACAACCTCAACCACCCAGAACGTTCTAGGATTTAGAAATTACCTGTACAGCAGGGGTAAAAGACTGTCTCCTATTTTAATGACTTCTTTAGTGTGGTTTTCCCCCCAGGGCCACCTGGGTCCTTTGCTTTCAGCTGCTGCCAATTAATTTCCCAAAAGGTGTCAACTGGGAGCCGTGTAAGGACATGCCCCCATCGGGGCTCTGAGAGCTGTGAGTGGAGCCCTGATTGGGAGGCAGCATCCCTGAAGGGGTTTCAGCCTCAAGAAGCTTCTGGTATTTGAACAGCAACTCCAAGACCTGAACACCCTACTACCTGTACCCCTAACACTTAGGAACCAATCTTCTCTTAAAGCTTACTACAAACGGATTCACATTTTGCAAATTTTACTTTCACTGTCAGGACAATCCTGTAGGATACAGATTAATGTCCCCATTTTACAGATAGGAAACTCAGGATCACAAGTGTGAAGTCACTTGTTCAAGGTCACTTTGACAAAGTGGCAGGAAAGAAAGTGAAAGTGTTAGTCGTGTCCAACTCTCTGCAACCCCACGGACTGTAGCCCTCCAGGCTCCTCTGTCCATGGGATTCTCCAGACAAGAACACTGGAATGCGTTACCACTGCCTTCTCTAGGGGATCTCCCCGACCCAGGGATCAAACCCGGGTCTCCTGCATTGCAAGGAGACTCTTTATCATCTGAGCCACCGAGGAATTGCTGCCCCCTCTTTGTTCTCTACTGCCTAAGGTACCCCGGTTCTCAGCTGGGGCCTCCTAAGGCTCCATAACACCCCACCCCACCTCCCCATCCCCACTGCAGCACTAAACATTACGGAAAGGGTGGACCCTTTCCCTTCAGTTAGCTGGAAGGTCTCCCCTGGGAGTTCCAGAAATCTCGGTTCAGTGACCTTTATTTCCTGGTAAAAGAGGTGAGGATGAAAAGTCACCTCTAAGTGGCAGGGGGTGAAAGGCTATAGAGACCACAGAACATGGTTTTAACCTTTTTGGGATAAAGCCCTGAACTGCTTTAAGGGGCACAAAATATCACAGAATCTGGGGAGCCAGCTTCCCCTAAAGCCTCTGAGAAGGGAGTCCCTGGAGCCCTGAGAAGTAATCTGCGCCCTATTGGAAGGGAAGTGATGCACAGCGTCCCGGTTCCCCCATGAAGTCAGCAATCGTGGCCAGGCCATGCCCTTGGAAGGTCCCAAGTCGGGAAGGAAGGACGGACAGGGTCACACACAATTCACAGTGGCTGTGCCCAGGGCACCCAGTACGCCATTCCGTAACTGCTCAGAGGCCCTAAGGAGCCAAGCCTGTGTCTGTGGAGCTTCAGAGCCTTGTTCATTTATTCCCGAATGTGGAGCGCCTCAGTCGAGAGTTGTAAACGGGACATACAACCCTGCCTGTGCAGACAGTTCATTTCAGCAGAGGATATGCTCAGCCATGGTCACTTAATCACAGTTGGCAGCAAAGTCTAGGAAGAGCACTAAGGTGCAAAGGGTGTTCCCAGATGGTGCTAATGATAAAGAATCCCTCTGCCAATGCAGGAGATCCAAGAGACACAGGTTCCATCCCTGGGTTGGGAAGATCCCCTGGGAAAGGAAATAGCAACTGACTCCAGTATTCTTGCTTGAAAAATCTCATGGACAGAGGAGCCTGGAGGGCTACAGTTCATGGGGTGGCAAAGAATTGGACACGACTGAGCTACTGACCACCACCACAGGAATGGCTACAAAGGGTTTTAAGCAGAAGAGAACCCAGTCAGGCCTGTGCTCTGAGAGCTGGAAGAGGTGGGGAGAATGGCCATAAGCCCATGCGAGGAACCACCTGGGGAGGGTGGGATGGAGCCGGAGTCTCTGGGCAGGGAGATCACCACACTGCGCCCTGGTTTAGCCACAAGGCAGGAAGAAGGGGTGATGGGGAGGACGGCTCAGTCCCAGGCACGTTCTCAGCCAGAGCTGCTGCGTGCCTGCCAGTACTGCAGCAGGAGAGTTCTGGATGGTAGCAGATGGCAAGGATGTGCAGGATGCGGGGAGCAGGGGTCACAGTCAGCCCAGGCCTGGAGCGGGCCATGGGCAGCGTGTGTGGGGTCTGAGAACAGCCCTTGAGTGAAGACCAAGTTTGCAATTTGGACTAGAAGGAGCCAAGTAGGTGCGTCTCAGGAGGACACCTCCTCATCTCCACCAGCACCAGGGCTCTCTTCCCCTCCCATCCGGATGGAGCAGCAGGAGCACCTGGTCTCCTCTCAGCTCTTGCAGCACTGAAAGCAATTGGCGGGGGGTGGGACCATCTGTCCGCTGGTCAAGCCTGTGGCCAATGCCTCGGCCAATGCTGCCGAGGGACCTGGGAGAGGCAGTGCTGTGCCCTCAGGGCCATCTGCTGGGCCCAGGGCAGAGACCCCCAGGATCACCCAGCATGGGGCCAGAGCGCCGAGCCCAGCTCACCACCAAGGACCCAGCAGGAAGACAGGCCAGCCCTGCCTGCTCACTCCATCCACGGTCTTCTGGCAGGGACCACCGGCCCCTCCTGAGTGGGCCTCCTGGCCTGGTTTTGTGTCCCTCCTGTGTGGGGCCTAATCATACCCTCTGCCCTGAGTTATACCAACACCAGGCCTGAATTCTTCGCCTCTTCCGGGAAACATAATCACCAACACAAGGAACATATGGGGACTTCTCTGGTGGTCCAGTGGCTAAGACTCCACGCTCCCAATGCAGGGGGTCTGGGTTCAACTCCTGGTCAGGGAACTAGATCCTGCATGTGCAACTAGGACTTGGTGCAGTCAAATTAACAACAACAAAGACAGATGAATGGCCTGAGAAGATGCTCAACGTCACTTATCGTCAGACAGACGAGAATCAACACCACAATAAGATATCACATCAGTCAGAACGGCCACCATTAAAAGGGACAAGTACAAATGCTGGAGGGAATGGGGAGCAAAGGGAACCCTTCTGCACTGCAGGTGCAGATACCATGAAAAACTGTACGGGGCGTTCAGCGGTCGGACTTCACCTTCTGGTGCGGGAATGGTGAGGGTTTGATCCCTGGTTGGGGAGGTGAGATCCCACATGCCTTGTGGCTGGGAAACCAAAACAGAGTTAATGTTATAATGAACTGAATAAAGACTTTAAACAACCCAAATGTTCATTGACAGATGAATGCATAAAAGATGTGGTACATACATACAGCAGAATATTTCTCAGCCACAAAAAAGAATGAAATAATGCTATCTGCAGCAATATGGATGCAACTCGAGATGATCATAGCAAGTGAAGTGAGTCAGAGAGAGAAAGACAAACACCAAATGATATCATCACTTATATGTGGAATGTAAGATGTGATGCAAATTAACTTACCGAAAAAACAGAAACAGACTCACAGAGTACAGACTGGTAGTCGCCAAGGGGGCGGGGGTGGGACACGGATGGTGTGGGGGTTTGAGATTAGCAGATGCAAACCGGGACACAGAGAACAGACCAACCAGGTCCTGCTGTGTAACACAGAATGCTATATTCAATATCTGGTAATAAACCATAATGGAAAAGAATATGAAAAAGATACATACGTATTTGTATAACTGAGTCACTTTGCTATACAGCAGAGAATAATACAACATTGTAAATCAACTATACTTCAATAAAATAAAATAAAACTAAAAGAACACAGGAATGACCAAGGGAACCTGGCTGACTCATCACAACTCTCCTCACCTTCCCTGCTGGGGTCTCCTGTCCAAGCACCAAAAGTGGGGGGGTCTGTCTATCCAGCTGAGGACTGGAGGAACCAAACCCAAAGGCTGCAGCCTCCCCCGGTCCCAAGTGGGACACCAGGCCTGGCCCATTGCCCAGTGGCACCCCTCTGCTCTCCTCGCCGCCCCTCGGCTCCATTCCCATCCCCTTCATGGTCCCTACCCTCCCTTTCCTCCCCAAACACTCACCTGCTCTGTCCTGACTGCAGGGCCTCAGCTTTGCAGGCCTGCTCCCCTTCTCCCTCAGCCAGAATTCCGAGCAGGAGGTCCCGCCAGGTTCCAGCAATACCTTCTCCTTCCTTCAGGCCCAGGGGCTCTCCTGGGGCCCGGAAGGGCTGCTGGGCACCCAGCCTCTCTGAGCTGCCATCTGCAGCGGATAGACCTCCCTCAAAGCCCCACAGGGAGCTCTGTCTCCCAGCTCTTGGGCCCATGCGGGCTTCTCCTCTCGGCCCCTCAGAACCTTTACCCTCTCCACAGGAGGCGGAGACTGGGACCTGACCACCAGGCAAACTATGAGGTGAGGACCGTAAGAGAGCAGCTGCACCCCGCAAACACCTCCGGTGGGGAGTGCGGTCTGACCCCTTTGCTGCCGAGTCGCTTCAGTCGTGACCGACTCTGTGCGACCCCACAGACGGCAGCCCACCAGGCTCCCCCGTCCCGGGGATTCTCCAGGCAAGAACGCTGGAGTGGGTTGCCATTGCCTTCTCCAGTGCGTGAAAGTGAAAACTCTGTCGTGTCCGACTCTTCGCGATCCCATGGACTGCAGCCCACCAGGCTCCTCTGTCCATGGGACTTTCCGGGCAAGAGTACTGGAGTGGGGTGCCACTGCCTTCTCTGTCTGACCCCTTTAGCCCCCTGTAATCAAACAGCAAGGAAGACAGCCTTCTGTTTATTTAGGCGCTGGCACCCAGGCCCTCCTGTAGTGACCTCACACAACCCCACAGGCATGCCAGGGAGTTTACATCAGCCCCGTTTTACAGGAGAGGAGCCAAGGCTCAGATTCATAAAAGGACGTGTCCGAGCTGACTTGGGTCACGGGTGGTGGGCTGGGGCAGGAACTGGGCTGCCCCCCAAAGCTGCAAGTCTGCTGACACTGGGCTGTGGGGTTGCCGAGTCCACGGCGAGCGGCACCTGCCTGAGCTGGAACCGTCCGGGCCACGAGGCCCTCAGGCGCCACCGGGCCCAAGCGCTGCCCGCCACATCTGCAGGACCGAGTCCCGGCGGGCCGTGTCGGGCAGGTGTTTGATGCGGAACCAGTGTCTGGGAACGACGTTCCCGCTGGGCGTGTAGAGCTTCTCCCCCTGCTGGCCCAGCAGACTGCGAAGGGCCAGGTTGCCTGACAGAACCTTCTCGTAGAATTCCACCCCGCCCCGGGCATAGGCTGCAGACAAGGAGGCCGTGCGGCGGTCCACCCAGGCTTCCAGGGCGTGGGTGAGAGAGTCCGTGGAGAAGGCGCAGGCCACGAAGCCCGCCGCCGCTGCCACCACGTTGAAGGCGGCCCGCAAGCTCATGGGGCCCCCGTAGAGCCCCAAGGCGCGCTTGGCCCCCACACCCAGCGCCCAGGTGCCCGCCAGGCAGGCTGGGGCTGGCAGGGCCTGCAGGGCGGCCGCCCCACTCTCCAGGTACACCACCTCCTTGGCCAAGGCAAACTTCTGGGCCTCACGAGACAGGGTCAGGGCATCTCTCAGCCGGGCGCCTGCTGGGCTCCGCCAGTCCACGCGCTGCCCGTAAACCACCACGGGCCGGTCGGTGTTGGTCACTGGGCCACCCAGGAAGCTGGCGGGGATGCCCACGACGGCCCCGCCAGGGAGTCTCGGGAAGCCGGCACTCACAGGCTGGAAGGTGAAGGTGGTAAAGGCCTCGAAGTGGTGGCCCGAGGGGATGCCAATGTCCTGCTGCACCTCCCGGAAGAGCCTCTCCAGTTCCGGGGACAGAGGCGCCGGCTGGCCCTGAGGCCAGTACTGGTATAGCCATTGGACCACAGGATCGGGGAAGAGGTGGTACGAGATCTGGGCCCCGAACAGGCCTGCGCAGGAGCCCACCAACAGGCCCGTCCTGTGTCTCTGCACAAACACCGTGGCCCGCCACAGCGGACCTGCCATGAGGGCTGCCACCACTGCAACCTGAGCCAAGAGAAAGAGAAGTGAGCCAACAACTGCCGAGGTCGGCCTGCAGACCAAACACCCCCAGGCCATATCCCCTTTAACTGATGCCATACGCACAGGAGCCGAGAAGTGGCCCCACTCTGACTCTGCATCACCCCTTACCAAATGTGCGCGTGACAATGGTCCACGAGGGGGTCTGTGCTGAGTCAATAAACACACACGGAACAATCAGGGTCTGCAAGGAGCAGACGCCCCTCGGCCAAGGCGAACTTCCGGGCCACCTGAGACAGGGTGAGGGCATCTCTCAGTTGGGAGCCCGCTGAGCTCTGCCAGTCCACTCGCTGCCCGTAGACAACCACGGGCCTCTCAGTGTTGGTCACTGGGCCACCCAGGAAGCTGGGGGGGATGATCCTGATGGCCCCACCAGGGAGTCTCGGGAAGCCATGGAATGGCTATAATTACAACTTTGATTCCCACGGATAGGAATGGCCCCAAGCAACCCACCTCTCACCCCACTGTCATACTGAACGTGAGCACTAATTTAAACACGAAACACATTCTCAGCTTATTCCGTCCTTACTATATGCCTGACACCGTTCTGAGACCTTTACACATATTATTTAACAACTGAATCCTTACAACTCTGCGCCCTTATCATTATGATGTGCCTATTTTAAAGCGGTGAACACGGAGGCACAGATAGGCCTCAACTAGTAACGTGGCAGAGCTATGGGCAGAACTATGTCTCTCCAAATTCATATGGTGAAGTCCTAACTCCAGGAGGAGCAATGTGACTGTATTTAGAGACAGGCTCTTTAAAGAGGTAATTAAAAGTTAAAGCGAGGTCATTAGGATAGCCCCTAATCCAATCCAGAGTGGGACATTCGGACACAGAAGGACTACGAGGACGCAAGCCAGAAGGTGGCCATCTACAAGCCAGTGGGAGAGGCCTCAGAAGAAACCAGCCCTGCTGACACCTTGATCTTGGACCTCGGGCCTCCAGCATTTCAAGAAAACACATTTCTGCCACCCAGTTCTTGTCACTACAGCTCCAGCAGACAAATACAGGCCCAGTATTTGAAGACAACTGTCCACAGCAAATTTTCCACTATAGATTATTTTTTATGATAAATTATAAACACGCAGGAAAGTGGAAAAAATAGTATATTATAAACTAATTTCAATCTGTCAAGTCATGGCTAGCTTTGTTTCATCTCTACTCAAACGCATAATCCCCTCCAGCTAGTTTATCTCCAAACACAGTAGGGCCATACTATTATTTCATCCGAAAATATTTCAGTGAAATTCACAATTGTTTAACTTCGGCTGAAGCTTACTGTCTTCCTGTCTGTAAAGTGTTTACTTAACAAGTAAATTGCTGGAAAGAAGAAGGCAGCATATTCCTTGAGAGTCACGTCACTGTGCCTTTTCGCCAACGAGGCAACCAAACCAGGACAGAAAGGGTGCAAACGTAGGTCCTAACTCCCCCAGGACCCCAGCACCAAGGCCGCGCGCCCCAGGGAGCCGTGGGAGGGGGCGCCGCGCATCTCGCAGGCGGCTGGGCGAAGGACCGCAGGACCCTTGCTCCAAGCGGGATCCCCTGGCTACGCCCAGGGCTGGAACACACCGCCTAAGGGGCCCGCAGGGATCCGCCTGTCTGCCCGCCCCCCTCCGCGCGCTCACCTCCTCCGCCGCCGCGCCAGGTACGCCGAACACGTGGGCGGGGCGGGGCCAGGCGCAAAGCACGCCGGCCGGCTCTGGGGGCGGAGACAAAGCGGCGGGGCCCTAGGGGGCGGGGCTGAGGCGGCGAGGCCCGCCCGCCGGCTTTGGGGGCGGGGCTCCGGGGGCAGAGACGACGGGGGCGGGAGGCTCCGGGGCGGGGGGCGGCGGAGGGCGGGGCGGGGCCCTGGCTGCTCAGCTCCAGCCGGGTCTCCTCAGCCAGTGAACGGCCTTGGGCGGCTGTTTGGGCCGCCCCTGTTTAGCACTGGAGAGACCAGCGTCAGGGCGTGGGTCGGGAGGCCTCTGGCGGACTTCTGTCGGAGCTCACGCCCCGTCCTCCCGCCAGGTCCCATCCTTTCCCGTCGGGAAGCGCTCTGTGCTGGCTGGCGGGGCCTCTGCCCCAGCTCCTCCCAAGTGATCCGCACTGCGAGGTCCGCGAAGCGGCGTCACACCTGTCAGCTCTCCTTCCCAGCTGCTGTGTGAGGGTCGGGGATCAGCCTGCCGGGGCCAGCCCATCCTTTACGCGTGTCTGTGGCTGCTGTCCCTTAGAGGGCAGAGGGGAGTAGCCAGGACAGAGACGGTCTGTCCAGAGCCTAAAACACTATCTGGCCACTTGCAGAAGAGGTCTGTAGACCCTGAAGTACAGGTGAAGTTGTGGGAAATTTGCTGGTGATGGACCAAGCTTTGTAAAGTCACAGTGAAGTCTGAGAGGCCTGCAAGCGGTGGGTGATTGATTGGGACTCGATTAGAGGATGAACAGGATATGAATACAGGGATAAGCATCCATGATGGATAAAAGGGTATCTGATGGTTGCTTTTTTTTTCATTGTGGTGATGTACACATACTTACCATCTTGACCATTTTAGAGCATATAGTACAGTGGTAGTACAACCGTCACCACTGTCCACCTCCGTAGCTCTTCATCTCGTATGCTGAAGCTCTGTATCCATCAGAGAATAACTTCCATTCCCCTTTCCTCTGCTCTCTGGCATTCACCATTCTACGTTCTGTCTCTGTATTTTGACCACTAAGTATCTTCTGTAAGTGGAATCAGAACTTCCTTCTTTTTAAGGCTAAAGAATGTTGCACCACGTGAATATGGCAGGTTTTGCTTATCCACTCACCCGCTGATGGGCACTTGGGTTGCTTCCGCATTTTTGCTATTATGATCTTGCTACTGTGAACATGAGTGTACAAATATCTCTTTGAGGCCCTGCTTTCAATTCTTTTGGGTAAATACACAGAAGTAGAATTGTTGCATAAGATGTTCATTTCACTTTTAAAGTTTTTGAGGACCTGGCATCCTGTTTTCCACAGAGGCTGTACCGTTTTGCATTCCTGCCAACAGTGCTCAAGTGTTCCTATTCCTTCACATCTTTATCAATGTGTGTTATTTTCTGTTTTTTTGATAGTAGTTATTCTAGTATGTGTATGTGGTGGTATCTTGTAGTTTTGATACGCTTTTCCCTAGTGATTAGCGATTTTGAGCACCTTTTCATATGCTCCTTGGACATCTGTATGTTTTCTTTGGAGAAACGTCTATTCAAAACTTTTGCCCATTTTTTAATTGGGTTGGGTTGTATGTGTGTGGTTGAGTTTTAGGAGTTGTCACAGATATGTGATGCAAATATTTTCACCCATTCTGTGGGTTACTTTTTAAATCTGAGGATATTGTCTTTTGATGCACATTATTTTTAATTTTCATAAATTCCAAATCTCCTATTTCTGTTTTGTTCTCCATGCCTTTTGTGTAATATCCAAAAAATTATTGCCAGAGCTAGTGTCATGAAGTTTTTGCCCTATGTTTCCTTTTAAGAGTTGTATAATTTTGGTCTTTGTTCCATTTTGAGTTAATTTTTGAATATGCTGTTAGGTAAGGATCCATGTGGATAGACAGTTTTCTCAGCAACACTTGCTGAAAAGACTATTTTCCCCATTGAATAGTCTTCACACCTTTGTCAAAAATCATTTGATCATATATGCCAGGGTTTATTTCTGGACTCTTTATTCTGTTCCATTATTACATGTGCTAAGTCACTTCAGTCATGTCTGACTCTTTGCAACCCCATGGACTGTAGCCCGCCAGGCTCCTCTGTCCTTAGAACTCTCCAGGCAAAAATACTGGAGTGGGTAGCCATTCCTTTCCCCAGGTGATCTTCCCAACCCAGACACTGAAGCCAGGTCTCCTGCATCACAGGTGGATTCTTCACCGTCTTAGTCACCAGGAAAACCCTCCATTGATTTCTATGTGTGTCTTTATGCATGCACTCACGCCGTTTTGACACTGTAGCTTTTTAGTGAGTTTTGAAATCAGGGAGTATGAATCCTTCAGCTCAGTTCTTTTTTCAAGATATTTTGTGTATTCAGGGTCCCTTGAACTTTCATATGAATTTTAGGATGAATTTTTCTATTTCTGCAAAAAATATCATTGGGACTTTGATAGGGATTGCTTTAATCTTTAGATTGCTTTGGGTAGTACCGCCATCTTAATAATATTAAGTCTTACAGTTCATGAACATGGGTTGTATTTCCATTTATTTATGTCTTCTTTGATTTCTTTCAGCAGTGTTTTATAGTTTTCAGTATATAAGTCCTTCATCTCTTTGGTTAAGGTCATCCCTAAGCATTTTATCCTCTTGTTGCCATTGTAAATGGAATTGCTATCATTTCCTGTTCAGATTGTTTATTGTTGGTGTATAGCAACTGACTTTTGTGTGTCGACTTTGTATCCTGCTAGTTTGCTGAATTCATTTATTAGCTCTAACAGGTTTTTGGGCAATGTTTAGGGCTTTTTAAATGTAATTTTGTATCATCTATGAACTGAGATAATTTTACTTCTTCCTTTCCAATTTGGATGCCTTTTATTTCTTTTCCTTGCCTAATCTGGCTAGATCTTCTAGGACTATGTTGAATAGAACTGGTGAAAGTAGGCATTCTTGTCTTGTTCCTGATCTTAAGAGAAAAATCTTTCAGTCTTTCACCATTGACTAGGATGTTTGCTGTGGATTTTTCATATATAGCTTTTATTATGTTTAGGCAGTTTCCTTCCATTCCTAGTTTGTTGAGTGTTTATTCATGAAAAGGTGTTGAACTTTTCAAATGCTTTCCCTGCATCAGTTGAGTTGATCATGTGGTTTCTGTATTCTGTTGATGTTGTATATTATATTGATTGATTTTCATATGTTGAACCATCCTTGTATTGTAGGATTGAATCCCACTTCGTCATGATGTATAATCTCTTCAATATGCTGCTGAATTCCTATTTTGTTGAGAATGTTTGCATTAATGTTCATAAGGGCAATTGGCCTGAAGTTTTCTTTTCTTGTAGTGTCTTTATCTGACTTTGGTATCAGAGTGATGTTGGCTATAAAATGAATCAGGAGAAATTCCTTCCTCTTCAATTTTTTGGAAAAGTTTGAGAAGGATTGGCATTAGTTCTTCTTTAAATATTTAGTAAACGTCACCAGTAAAGCCATTGGCTTCAGGACTTCCCCTTGTTGGGAGACTTCTGATTAATGATTTTATCTCCTCACTTGTCATAGGGCTTTCAGATTTTCTCTTTCTTCCTAAAATGTTTTCTGAGGAGGCTTCTGGGCATGAAAGGAATACTTAAGAGTTACTTATGGTTTAATTACTATCAGTTACTATGTAATTACTATTGATTAAGGATAAGTTTAAATATCTCGTACCTCTTAAACCTCAATTTACAAATATTATCTTAATAAATTTAGTGATCTTTGTATAAAAATAAGATTTTGTTTCTACCTGTTCTTTGGTTAACTGTCAATTAACCATGGGCTTTATAATGAAATCTTCCTTTAATCTTACCATAGCGCTTCTGTACTTAATTGGTCAAATTCTCTTGGACATCTCAAACTATACTTTCAACTTTAATTTAGTTGATTCTCTTAAATATAACAATATCCAACCCCTGCCAAGTAGTCTTATTCCCAAATCAAATTTTATAAGCAAAATATTCTTAACCACTAAGCAACTCTTATAAATCTAATAAAACACAGAAATGTAACAGATCCTGTAAACAGAACCTGTTTTAAACATCTTAAATGAAGTACATATAAAACAGGAATAAAACTTGTTATTACAGATAACCTACCCAGCACAGAAGTATCAACCTAGGTAGATTCTTTCATTCATCTTGACATCTCAAATGTATTCCCCTAATCCTGGAGCACAGAACCACCCTCATGGGCCACCTTACCCTGAGGTGCTGTGGACTGAACCCTTGGTGGGATATTCTTGCCCAGGACAGGGGTGCAGAACAACAAGGGTCCAGGTGGATTTGTCATGAGTTGGCATTTATTTACGGAGATAATTGGACTTCTCAAGCCTATGTCTTTTTTGCCATAGTAAAATCCTCCACAATTTTTCATTGCTTGGGTAGAGCTGATACAATTCTGCATCTCCTGCCAGGAGGGCAATGAATATTTCAGCTGTTTGATTTGTAATGATGAAATTTTGATGCTGACCAAAACTTCAGTGCAGTATACACATAGTTTGGCTTCATCAACATACTATAAACATCATTAAAATCTTGTACGTGCCTTTTCCCCTTCCCCCTTTCTTTCCCCTAGCATGTCTCATATGGCTCTGCAGATAGCTACTGCTTTCTTTCTAGTGCCAAAACTGTCACAACTTGCTCAGTGGGAGCTCCTTTCAACTGGCTCCTTTATCCTTTCAAATTGTCCCCGGATCACTTTGAAAGCATACTTTCTTTCCGGCAACAAACGCATGCTCCAGGAACATCTTAATTATCCTTGTGCTGAGATATAGAATCGGATACTTTCCAAGGTTCCTTGCTTCCTTCTCAGGAATGGTACTTGAGACCAAACTCTAAGAGCTTTGGGCACATGTCAGACCACGCTACTTGGCCCTGGGAGTGGACAGTGGCTCAGTGGCCATTTCAGAGGCAGACCACCGAAAAGATATATTTTTAAAATGTCATTGAATCATATCTTTTTTTTCTTTTTTGGCCCCACAGCATCTGGGATCCTCCTGAGCCAGGGACGGAACACTTGTCCCCTGCATTGGAAGCATGGAGTCTTACCCACTGGACCCCACCACCACCAGGGAAGTCCCTGGAATCATACCATTTTAAATTTAACTACAATTTGACTACTTAAACAGACCTTGTTCTAATATAAAATATTTTTGTCTTTTCTTTTATACTAGTTTCCCTATTGCCACAAATACTAACTTTAATGAGCATGCCATCTATTATAATACTGGTATTATAATTTGGTAGAATGTAAACCAAATTAGACCCTGGGTCCCTTGCCTTGGCTGCTCTGCACAGCCCCCTCTGACTTCCCAGATCCGATATTTCTACCAATAATAATAATTTTCTCATTCCTTAATATTTTTTGATATCAGAAACTGGTGATGACTATAGTGTGAACAGTTTGAGTAGTATCAGCTCATTTACGAATAAATGATAGATTTTATTTTTTCCAATAATTGCTAC